ATGTCGAGTTAATCCCTGCTGCACCACGACTGCCCTGTAAACCCTTGAGAGCTTAGTGATATGAGATTGCACCCATCCATGAATCCCAACTCCTTTTAGAGAGCCTTAAAAGTAGTCGCATGCAACCTATGACAAAGCGTCCAACATGGTGACAGAAATCTTTTCACAACTGCGCAGTTCAGATAGCACTTCACATTCACTGGAATGTGACTCACAGACCTTATACAATGCCGTCGCGATTATACACATTTGAATGAGTAAGACAGAACTTAACGGAATTCCCAATGTAGGCACTAACTTCTTGCAGTATTTTTAGTACGAAACAATTGATCTCTTATGTAATCGTTGTCCTGACCATCCCATGTGACCTTCTGCACGATATCTATCACGTATGTCGAGTCGTCACCGAATGTTGTCTGTAAACAGGTGAGGAATTCGTCGCCAATCCTTCAAATACAACCCATGTCAACCCACGTCCGCATCCTTGATAATAGTGTCGCAGTACTGCACTTCGTTCGGGGTATAGAAAATAGCTACACGATTCCATTCAAGCATTTGGAACATTGGCACCAGTGCCTCCATCATTCTGAATAGAACGTACGCAAAAAAATTCAAGAGTTCAAATAAGAGAATTATCCACAATTCTGTTTGGTTGTGCTATTTTGTGATAGTATGGTGGCAGCTAGTGTACTATCACATGGTCGAGATTTCGAGTTCTGGATCGATGGAGCCAACCAAGCCTTTCATCTTCCGGGATCATTTAATCGGTACCATTGTTGTCTGAAAGGGTAAATGGCTGGTAAAACGGCCGGGCACCGCAAGTCATAAGGTAGGACACGTACGCACCAACACTTCACTACGATTCTGAAGGGAGGTTAAATGGCGCATTCTAAATACGGGATTATCGAGAATTGAGCCAGGATTAGATCCGGCGACCACGCATGTGATAGAGCGCCAATTGGCATCCAGCGACACCTGCACTCTGCTTTGATAATGGGTATGGCTAACCATTCCCAAGCATGGTTCCAGTCATTAAAAGTGATTTATCAAATTCACAACTGTTAGGTTAGAGTAATAGTAACTTACTGGAGTGAATCTGGTATGACTTTTGTCAGATATGGAAAACGATCATTATCGCTGAATATGGGGTCAATTAGAAAACCCCATCCAAGCATAGTTTTCTTGTAGTATGTTGACAAATAAGCTATCATCTCGGCGGCTGAAAAGCAAAGCTATGAAGATTGGTGTTTGTTACCTGAAAAGACAACTTTAAATGTTCGTTATACGATGATCACAGCTTTATTCCTTCATAGTCAGAGCAACATAACAAACAAGATTTCGCTGCGCCATCAAATCCGTGGCGTTTGTGCGTCTTTGGCACCTATCATTGGGCACAAACCTTAAGTAGAGTAGATTATAAGTATCATCTGACCCTAATGATCCACTCTACTTCGAGTTTGTGCCCCGGTGATAGGTGCCAAAGACGTCAAAAACCCCACGCATTTCGCCGCGCGATTTGCCGCGCCCATTCAGAATCGGGTGAGTGTACTCATACCGGGGGGTATGGGGAGGGGATGTGGGGCCGCGGCATGTCGCGCACTTGTACACACGCTTAGTTGAGGATCGATTCCAGGATCAACAGACACTGTTGAATGGCTCCGAACTCATCTTGGAGGATAAAAGCATTGACTTATGCGTCTGCAAGCCGCTACATTCATTGTATTGGTGAGATACACCACTACGATCCTAAATGGTAGTGGAATTCGAGGGCGCATCCCAAAACGTGATTGATTGATGTCAAAAGTCTAGATGCGACTATGTCGCTTAAGCTCTGAGCCATATAGGTTAAATAGTTTAGCTAATACTGCATTGGCACTTGGCAGGTAAGACATTTGGGGCGCAGTTAATGGAGGCTTGGTTTCTGTGGCATCGGACCCACTTAGATATTCAAGTCTCGAATACCTGTGAAGACTGCTTTTTAAGGACGAGGTGTGTATCTGAGGGGGGTGAAAGCAAGTAGTCATTGAATGTTGTCGCAATCGTATTCGCACATGCACCGTACACGGTAGGTAGTACTTAGGTACATGTTTGGATGTGTTTGTTTGTTTCATTTTTTTTTCTTTCACATGTTCTTTAAGGGCATGTAATAAATTGAAGTACACCAACCGGATGATAAGGTTATGCTAAGTCTCCAGCCAGTTTTCCCACAGCGCTTGCTCAAAATTACAGTTTTTAAACACGTAGTGTGGAAAGGTGCAATAATCACAGATATTTCGTCTACGCCGGACATCGCCTTGAAATTGACGAAAAGGAAAAGAAGACTCAGCACGGTGGAGCATTCAGACCGCATGCTTTCTGTTACTTTGTTCAGACTTCTGCTCAGGACTAACCCCCTTTCTGCTGTTGCCTTGTTATTAGCATTCTATAAAATGAAGTTTTGCCCGAGAAAGAAGATAAACTAACAAGACGGGCAAGGAGGCCCAATGATGAGGTCGACCTTCTGTTTCACCATGTGCTCTAAGGCTACTCCAACAGCTGCCTGGGAACTGCATTCGGTGTAGTTCACCATAAACCTAAACCCATGATTGAAATTTTAAAATCAGAAAGATTATAGAGGCCATAAAAAGCCGCATAAGATTTTTTGTCAGAGTTGTCATCAGAAAGCATATTATTAAACATAGCATTAGCATATTGCAGTCTTACGGCTTCTCTAGGAAATATTTAAATCTAGTGAAGGTTATCAGCGATCGTCAATCGCTCCATGTTCGAACAATTGCCCAACTATGTGGATGGTAATTCTTCAAAGTAATGGTAAAATAGAAAATTACCGACGCAATTGCACTGCACTGAAATATCGTCCAGACAGCTTCTCCGTCTCATATCTTCATACAATTCACGGAGTCAACAAGTACTTAGAACGTACTAAAGCTCCCGTTAATTAGATTCAAAACCTTGAGTCTACTGGGAGCTGTGTATTCGTATGACTTATCATCAAATGATTAGAATTTGGAACGGGTCCCGGAAGCGTGGCGCACGTGCAGTCACTACCAGTGTGCTAGAGGTCGCACCTCCATCAGTATGTAAGTATAAGAGAAAAAGGAGTAAGATTCAGAATATTAATGAGCCTCAGCATTCGTAATCAGACAGGAAGGAGTGAATTGACTAGAATTACCACTCACCTAAATTCAAACCCGTTGGTTATGCCTTCAGCGTGCATTCGATCGAGGGCTAAACCGATAGCACCACCGCTTCGTGAGAATGCCATGAAACTCGGTAAGACATCCTCTACAGCAGCAATTCCAACAGTCACCTAAGTATAAAAAAATTTTAAAGGAAGACTTGTTCCCTAAGTGAACGGCACGAAATCCTGCCTAATTCTACTGATTGAATAGTTACCGTCTTTTTCTGCTGCTGTGAAATGGCAGTAGCAGCTAGACAGAGGAAAATAAGAGCGATCATGCTAGTAGTGCTTGAGTCTATGCTTGCAAAGGAACTAATTGAGACTTCCTCTTTGAAAATGCCGAGATCCCATGCGGCGAAGCCTTTCAAACTGCACTGATTGTTAGTGAACTCTTATGACTCCATTTGAAAAGTTTTGAATCTAAACATAGTCAGACGAATCCAAGCAACAGAGATTGTTCTTTGTTTCGAAAAACATATGGCTTCCACTCTCAGGCAATCATTTCTTACCAATATGTGTAGCAGAGCCATATAGAAAGCTCCTTCGGTTCAAGAATGGCTGTTAATATCCGGATGGTACGTTTTATTAGCCTGACTATGGACCGGGACAGGACATACAATTTCATTTCTCGGTACATCGTCGTCGGTGACACAGATTTGAAGCAGCCGTTTGTGGAAAATCGTAACTACAATGGTTCCTCTATCGGGAGAAATTGTAAACGCTGATGAACGAAATTCTGCTCATAACACATATTTTCTTTTTCTTAAAGAAAAGAAAAAGAGAAAGAAAGGAAGAATCGCGTGTACCTTGTCCCTGATCCTCCTCCGCCCCTTTATCCGTCCCTCTCGATGTCACTATAAAAGCCGTACCAATGCCTATTATTGTTAATTTGATTTATGTGATGGAAAAATGTGCTTTCAAAATGATGACTAGTTTGGTGCGTCAGCAGAAATATTCCAGGTCTTCAAAAGAAGAGCGGGAGCCAGTGAAAGTAGAATGATCAGACTGGCGTTCTCATATGATGACTGAATAAGTTCAAGAAATTAACAGATTAGAACAGGCTTTCGGTGTGATACGGAGCTTCTTGGTATTAGATACCAGAACTCGCAACCGACTCCGTGGCCCATGCCTTCTCTGGTTTCTTATCAACCCTTATTCAATGCTGTTAACTCCTATCACTATGCACCTACGATCTCACCCCTTCTCCCCCACTCCTCTATACCACCAATCACACTACAAATGCAAAGGTGCCAGAGTGAACATCAAGGAGTAAACTTCATCACTTTGCTATGGCTCCCATCCTTCCGCCAAGTCCCTTGTGACCTTGAACATTCAGGGCAAGGGGACAGCAGCTGTGCATTCCCGTAGGAAAGTCGGGAAAGGAATTTCGAACTTGTGTTCACCCCATATTATTAAATGACTTTTTTTGGCTTCTCTGAGGACCTTATTTCTATTAGCACCTTTTGGAGGATGTAGGTCTTGATTCCTCTTCTTAACATCCAATCTATTAGGGACACGACTAGCTCCTGAACCACATTCTCCATCTCACTGTATCAAGTGTATATTAGCTCTCTGTTACATCGGGTAGCAAAGGAAATAATTATCGCTCAAAAGGCTACTCATTTCACGTGGGAAGCCTGATTACATTCGGTTGAGCTATATTTCACTTTAGGGAACCCGAATATGCTTTTAGTACCTGCAGAATTGTGATGCATGTGCTTCCTGCTTTCTGAAAATGACCAAAGATCCCACCAGTGCGGAGTGATCTATGAACCTATGCAGATCTTTGAAATAGTTAAACATGTGAAGCAGTGATTTTAATCCGTTTTAATCCTTTATGCTCGTCTCCCAACGGAGCAAAGAGCAATAGGCGCTAAGGAATCAAGCAGTGTATCAATTGGATATCTTCCAGTTCTTTTTTACTGCAATTGGGGTCAGATTCTGACAAGAAGATGTGAGGGTCTCGTTCAATGTTTCAGTCTAGTTTGGACTGAATTACGAATGGAATCACACCAATCTCACCTTGAACGAAGCATTGACTGAGATATGCAGGTGATTTGGGTCAAATATTGACTTTGCTCCATTTTATTCTATCGCTATAGCAAACTTTATTGTGCTTAACCGAAGGAAGGATTACCTGTGTCATCTATCGATCTACTGAGGGTCAAGTTCCACGGTGTTGCCTCCCAGACAGGGCGTAAAGAGCACTGACTGCCACATCGGCTGACCATCGCAATTCCTTCTATTGGCCGTACATGCATTCAAAACGTCACTACGGGATGCGCCATATATATGGCAACAGAGTAGCGTGCAGATGCCCAAATTCATACTGATACATGGTGAACTTACGTGACTATTTACCATGCTTCGCATGAACAAAATGAACGCACGGTCATCTGATATGGCCGCCTTCTCAGGTAACGTGCGATTCACGCGTGACCCCATCGTCGCGCACGCAGCACGCGACGCACCACAAGGCAGATTCGTAGGAGTTTCAATGCGATCGCTTCAGTATCCTTCAGTTGAAATGGACCTAATGTATGCGAATGCATTAGTCCATGGCCTCACCATGAAGTAGTGCAAATCTTTACTACGGCAATGAAGCCCCTTCGAAATTGATTTACTCTATAGGTCAGCAATTAATTGGGTAGAAATTCAGAAAAAGAATAGATTTAAAATGTTTCGATCTTGATAAATGCGCTCCTTCTGTAAACGGCATAGTTGATGATTTTCTTTACTTATCTTTTACAAATTCCCAGTTCTCCCATTATGATGGGGGGCATGATATAATGACGTCTCTTCCGCCGTAGGACCCGCCCTTTGCGCGAGATTGCATTGACACCCCTCCATCTTCTCCACTAGTTTTAGTTCAAAGATGAGTCAGCTGCTCATCGACGGCGACACGTGAGTTTCGTGAGAATTTTCATTTCGAGTTTTTTTGCGACTTCGTAGTAACAGCAACAGTGCTTTGGAAGCGCAGGCGTCCTTCTCCGTATGAACTATACCCACAGACCCATTGGAATGCAAGACCTAAATTAGTTTTGAGGTTTACTCTCTCGAACTGTAGAACCGAGATAGTGGCGAACTTTATTATTCCGACGCTTCGGTGCCTCCACTTTCCTCAGAGTCTGGAGAGACAAAAGGAATTTTAAAAACCATTCGATCAGGCACTATTTCAATCTACAGAGAAAGTTCAGAAGGCGTGGATTAGAAAGTTGGATATTGTTAACTAACCTTTGGGACAGTCGACCTTTTGGCCCACCGATCACCCTAGGCTGCGGTTTAGATAGGGTGAGCCTCTGGTCAACCTGCTTCAGGGGCCTCCATGGAGCTAATCATGTAGATCAAACCTCCTCAAAGGCAACACAGGGCCAAGCGCGTCGCTGACCCCTTCCCAATCAACAGCTGTCAATTGCTGTATAAGCCCCCTGACCCAGCCGAGCCGAAAGGACTTTCCGGGGGAATCGATAGCGTTATGTCAAAAGCCGCATAGTGCAAGACGTTAAATTCTTAGGCGGATTGGAAGCAGGGATAAAATCGCGAACATTTCGTCAGCACCAGTCTTAATCTTTTTCCATTTGTGAGCAAGTGCGCCGTAGCTTCCAAATCGTATACCTGGATTAATCTCTTACCCTTTGTAACACCTTGACACTTTCCCAGATTGTCTCTTATGGGAATCGTCTGACTTATTTTTATACTTTTGTAGACGAAAATAAGCGATATCGCTGTCATGGCACAGATTATTGCCCAAGCCATCATAGAGAATGAACATAGCTACGGACAACGATCTGAACTTTTTCAACGGTTTAATCACTTGTAGTAATCCTACTATATATAGCGCGATAAGTGTGTCTGTTGGTTCGTCTATGTGTGTGTGTTTGACCGGAAATTCATAACTGCGGTCGCCGTGGACCCAGAGGGTTCAAATTTGGTGGGAGTACGGGCGGTACAATAGGAACGTTTATGGTGGCTGGGAAGAACGGACTCCGCCCACAGGGGGCGGGGTTTGTGCGGAACAAATGTTCGAGGGAAAGGTCATAACTTCTGTCCCCGTGAACCTGAGGCGTTCAAACTTGGTAGGAGTGCAGGCGGCACGGTAGGAACGCTCGTGGTAAGGCAGAACCGGATGCCCACAAGGAGCGGGGTTTGTGTGAATAGCTTGAATTTTACCTAGAGTGCTCAAATTCGGTAGTAGTGCAGGCGACACGATGGAAACATTTATGGTGGGTGGAAAGAACAGACTCCACCCACATGGGGCGGGGTTTGTGCGAATAATTCAAACTTGGACCGAGAGCGCTTATATTTGAAAGAAATACAGGCGGCAGGATGGGCGCACCTACATATGTCGGGCGGCGAGACTTAACTCCGCTCACAGGAGGCTAGGCGTGAGCAAAAAATGTAAATGTAGATTAAAGCGAAATTTTGGAACCAAAGTTGAATAAGTCGCTAATAAATCGAGTTATTCAAACACACAGAACCCGAGAAATTTTTTCATGGCGGACTGGGCGCGCACGATTTGCGTTGGGTGTTTGTGTTTGAGAGCCTCCAAATTCGGAGAAGGTGTAGGCGGGGAGACCATTTTAACACGAGAAGGAGGGGAACCCGACGTCGGCCGGGCGAGCGGACTGGTATACAATACGAGTACTCGGGGACCTAAACATTTAACACCTTCCCGTCGGAAAGGAGAGGGGGTGACGAAGCGCATGCCGCGTACTAGGAGGGCACGGCATTCGCTCTTTCTGCTGGCATTCTTTTGAGACAAGAAGACCGTGAAGACAAGAAAAAATCGAGACTTGTCGTTAGCCTGTTCACGCATCGCAATTCAAGAGAATTCTATGCGAGAAATGTCGAAGCGACAAGCGAACCTAGAAAAGGACTCACTAAATGAGTGCAAAGACGGAACAGCTGCCGGGTGATTGCGAAGTATCACCATTTCTCGAAATCTGACGAACTGTGAGAAGCACAGAAATAGTTTATGATAAATATTAGGGAAGGCGCAGTTTTGGAAAACCAGCCAAACAAGAAAATTGCGATCTTTCGTGAAATTGTTACCATATTTGTGGGCGCACTCTGTACATAGATGTAAGGCGAATATGAGGCGTATCCCTTAGACGTTATTAATTACTGCCCAATAAGCCTAACGTAAAGACCTTCACCGTCAAAAAAGATCAAAATATAGGTTGGCGGTACATTACAGAAAGCGTTTATACAGCATAGAAGTTGAAGGCTTAGTTCGCGATAATTTCGAGCAACCAATATTTAGCCAAAAAGCGAAAATATAGGAGTAGTTCATAGGTAGTCTATAAAGGAAGTGAGTTTGCCAATTTCCGGGAAAACCAGGCTTCCAAAAAGGTGAAAATAGAGCACGGACGAGATTACTATGACAGGTACGCGGGAGAGGTATTCGGACGAGATTTCAGTTGTTAACGATTGCCTAGAGAGCTGACCCCATCAAGCCGAAACTGTAAAGGACTGTCTCCCACTGCCGCAATGGGTCACGACAGGTTGATTTAACTTCCTACATGGGTGTGAATGATGCAGCCTCTACAGCGCTGGTGTAACTAGCCCAAGGATACACAAGGTGCAATGTTTGGGCCTTTATAACTCCTCATCTAGGATCTAGACCCGTTTCCGACATGACAGCGCCACATATGTAGTACGAGGGGGCACAAATGAATCCTAGGGGATATCTCATAAGCCATTTTTACCGTAAGCTGGGCCTTCAACATAGTGGCCTATTTCACTTCAGTGAACTCGACCAATCCACGTNGGGGGCACAAATGAATCCTAGGGGATATCTCATAAGCCATTTTTACCGTAAGCTGGGCCTTCAACATAGTGGCCTATTTCACTTCAGTGAACTCGACCAATCCACGTGGTTAATATCAATCCGTGAAGCGATCAACAGGGTAATTTGTGGAACAATTAATTGGTGGAGAGGGACTGCATCTCATGTAGTGAGCATTCAGAATCATGTTAACAATGGATACTGACAGAACTCACTTCAACACGATGATATTAGTGGGTATTATAAATCCAACTTTCCATTCGGTGCTCAAAGCTATCCTACTTATATAATCGGCTAAATGTGTCTGTTGGTGTTTGTGTGTGTGTGTTTGTGTGTGTGTGCGTGTGTGCATGTGTGTGTGTTTGTTTGTCTGGCCGAGAACTCATAACTCCTGTCACACTGGACCTGGAACATTCAAATTTGGGAGAGAGAGACATCAGATGGGAACACTGATGGTAGGGGGTAGGAGGTGACAACAATTGATAGGAAGTGACAAGGTGCCTTGAAAGGCAAAAGCCACAGGACCCACATTTTCCTTTGTATTAACGATGAAGTCTTGACACTTTGGTAGGTGATGTAGGATGTGAAGGGACTGTAAATGATTGGTGACAGGAAATGATAGCAAGT